TTAATTGATTGTGTGCCATGAAGTCTAAAATGCACATACACTGTGTTTAATACAACATAAGATTGAAACCCAAATATTACAGTTTGGACATTTTTTGCTACAGTTAGAGCATAATTGCAAGCAATACATCTTTAACTTTTCGCTGGGAGCCTTTCTGTGTAAAAGGAAATGAAGCTCAACATTTCAATATCTAGATAAATTTTGTGGTTGGTCCTTATATAAATTATATCTGATTTATCCAAGCTTCCTTTTTCTTTTTTTCTTATAATTTATAGTCCTATATTAGTAGAAATGCCATACTTTAATTATATATTTATAATCCAAATTTAGACATATAATTCTGTCAAAACGTTATGCAAAATATTTTTTTGTAGTAATGGAAAATATTTTTTTTATAAAAAAGCATGATATTGTTCAAAAACCATCATAATTGCATGTCTTTGGTTTTTTCTTATTTATAACCTTATTCTAAATTAAATCTAATATATTTTTATCAAAAAAAATCAAGACATGTAAAAAGTTTATTGGAGCTCCTGGGTCTCTGTCTTAGGCAGAAGGAATTAAAAATATATTTAATCATGTTAAGTTTTGATAAAATATGTTTGTAGTTTTCTTATTCTAGGTTGTTTAGAAAGCCACATTCCTATTTCAAACTCACAACTTTTGAGTTGATTAAATGTATTATTTAATAAATTAAAATTCAGGAACGATTTCATATAGTAAGAACAAACAGAATGCCTCAGGACTTTAGACAGAGTTTCTTCCTGATAGAAGGTTAATTCTAACATTTATATTTAATGTTATCAAGCATTTTGATAACAAGCAGAATAGAAGGCCACCTAACATAAGTATTTATAAATAGCTACATGGCAGTCTGCTACTCATCCATAGCTTGCTCCACTTTGAGGCCCTGCACTTATTTTTTGTGACCTTTATCCAACATAACTGACTTTTTTTTTGTACAGTGGCATCATTCCTTTCCAACAGTTGACCGTATGTTAGTATTGCAAAAGATTGTTGGATGAACTCTCATATATGTCTACCTAATTCAAAAATGTGATTCTGGGCAACTAACATAGGTTTGAAGTCAAAGCAAGATTAACAGTGAACACACCATTAGACAGTATAAAACTGAACAGCCAAAACCACAACATACTCAAAATCCTAAACCATTTAACTTTTCATCTGCTATGGCATCAGCCACAATTCTTGTGACAGCCCTTAATAGTGCACTTGTCTGGAGAGATATTACCCTATTGAAAGCTGTAAAGGGAAAGTTTCCAGAAATGAATCCCTAAAATCAGAGCATATTCTTGCTTGGGTTTAGACAAAGCCTGCTTTTTCTCAGCCGAACCTTCACAAATTCTAGATACTGGGAAAGAATTTGATAGCATAACCCAGTTAACTTGTGGTAGAGATATAAAGCCATATTCATGATATTTAACCTTTCAAATAGTTGATCTCATCCAGCAGCTTCATGTAGGTGTTATATAGGAGTGGAGAGAAAAGTAGAGTTTTCAGGAACTCTATAAAGCAGAGTCCTAGGGCTAGAACTTCATTTACCAACACTGACTGGAATTGCCCCAAGAAGAACCATCTCAACATCTCCTATATTCTCAATCTCCAAAATTGCTCCAGAGCAATATAATGACCAACTACCATATTTTTTGGATATAGAGTATAAGACACACATTAGTTTTTGGGGAGGAAAACAAGAAAAAAAAATTCTGCTTCTGCTACCAGCATCCATCATATTCATCTGGCTAGCATCCTTGCAGCAAACAGCAAACAGCCTGGTCAGCTTCAGCACGTTATCACAGCCTGATTCAGCACGAGCAGCTGATTGGAGTTGGATCTCCCGGAATACCGCCAATCAGCTATTCCAGGCTGCAGGGATCGCCACAGCCCATCACCCGCTCTGCGTTTTTGGCCTCCATGTGTTGCATTTTTGGCTAGTTCCAGGCAGTGGGATTGGCAGCGGCAGTGTGGAGGCCAAAAACGGCTGAAGGGTGGGGGCCGGTAGGTGGGCGGGGCTTTGGCAACATTTGCTGTATAAGACGCACAGACATTTCCACCCACTTTTAGGAAGGGAAAAAGTGCGTTTTATACTCCGAAAAATACAGTATACCAAAACCACTGAGAGATTGAGGGCCGGGATGCTGAATTAAGTATGTATTTGTTTTACATATACAGTAAATGTTAACTAGTATTGTGGGGAATGGCGAGGGGCCCCATTGCAGAATCAGAATGGGACAACTTTCTGCAACCAACTCGCCATGGCCAATTCCCAGCGAGACAACTCACCAAGGCCAGCTGGCTGCAAGACAACTCATGCAGAATAATTCAACAATTCAATTTAATTATTTAAAATAATTTTTTTAATTGTTTTGATTTTTGTCATAAACATTTCGTTTTGTCCCTCCTTTTGCATCCTTTCTTTAATTATTCTATTCCACCATTGTTTCAAAATTGGTGTAATTCTTCTCCCGCAGCGAGTTTTTCCCATGGCAAATTCACCATGGTGAGTTGTCCTGTGGCGAGGTCGCCGTGGCATGATGAGTTGGCCATGATGAGTTAGTCACAATCACAACCAGGGCACCAATAATTGAAAACAAAGCCTCCCAAACCAGGCAAGCCTGCAACTGGCATGCAACACAAAACTGTGTGAAAGCTTCCTGGTTAGTTTGTTAGACAGTCCAAACAGGAAGTGCAGCCAGAAATACTGTTTCATTATTGAAGGCTACATTCATAGAATCTTGCAAATCTGAAAGTACATTTCTCACACACACACACACACCTTTACAATCGAAGAAACTAAGGAAGATCCATTCTGAGATGTTTGCCATGTCCCCATTCCTTCAGTGGATTGAGATTGTGTTTGTCTGATCATGTCTAGTCTGAGGCTTTTTCTCCTGTCTCCCCAGGTGATTTCCATATGCTATCACTTTCCTTGTTATGTCTGCCACCTACTTTTCACACAGAAATCGTAGGAGGACCCTAGATTGCATGCAAGGTCTGCTTGGGGAGAGGAAGAGATCACAAATCCCTAGAACCAGAAGATCCCAAGCCCAGAGCCACTTCATCTTGTCAAGATTGACCTGAAGCCTCTTTTTCCCCATCCAAACCTTAACAGCTTCCAGATACCAAGGCAGGATGTCAACAGCATTGCTTAGTGTGCCAGGGGTAGAGATGTAAATCTGGATATTGTAATGTGCTGATGATAGCTCATTCCAGTGTGATGGATGATGATGGATGTCACCTAGTAGCTTAATGTACACATTAAGCAGGAGCAGAGATAGTACTGAACCCTGTGGAACTTCATAAAACAAGAGCCATGACTAGGACACCTCACTCTCAATCAATGCCAGCTGGAACCAACATTAGAGGAAGGAGGAGAACCAGCATAGAACTGGGCTGCCCAACCCCCAAAGCCAGTCCAGAAGGATACCATGATCAATGATACTGTTGCATGACCTCCGTTCTTGTCCTTCCAGAAGTCATCCAGAAGCATAATCAATATTGTTTCAGTCTCACATTCAGGTGTGAAACCCAATTAAAAGGGGTTCACTGTTCATGTCATACTTCATTATTTTACATTAAACCTGTATTTCGAAATAATGATACAAAGCCAGTGATTTGATCTTGGCTACTTTTATATGTAGCTACTACCATGGAAATGAGTGCATTTGAAGGAAGTTGACTTAGCAGGCAATAGGATTTGGCCACTTTAGCATTGTGTGGGCTAGCAGATAATATACCTTTGATCATATTGATCACCTGAAATTTTTGATAGTTGGCTCCATATTGTGCAATGGTGTTATATAAAATTATCTTCCTTATAGCCAGATTCTGTGTTTTCAAATGGACTACCCAAATTTGACCAAACTAGATCCTTTTTTTTCAAAATTAAAAGTTCCACAATTGGTTATTCTGTTCATTTTTTTTATCTCCAGCACTCTTGAAAATCAGGGATGTCCCTTGATTTTGTTCATTGGGGAAAGCATCAGGCCAGCTATTCCAGTTATCAAAGGAATTTTAACAGAATTATCTGTTCTAGTGATAAGAAAATCCCTTAAAGGATGGAAGAAAGTATCTCTGAAGCATGATTTTTATCAAAAGTCATCCAGATATTAATCATAGTGCCAGTACTTGAGATTGAGGATTTTAGAAGAGCTAGGCCCAACAAATAAAAAGAACTTGATATCTCATAAATTAACACACTTTTTATTACATTAAATTCTGCATCATAAATAGTGATAATGTATTTGTTCAACTTAATTTAGAATGTATCTAGAAGTTGTTAAATGTGTTGCTGTAATACACACATCTAGAATGAATACTTATTATAAATGATGTCAGGTAAGAAAATTGCTGTAAGCCGGCCAGAATCACGTTAAAATGAGATGGGAAATGAAAGAATAAATGAATGAATGAATGAATGAATGAATGAATGAATGAATGAATAAACAAATAAATAAATAAATAAATAAATAAATAAATAAATAAATAAATAAATAAATAAATGCATTGTGGCTGTATACAATAGTATGGGACCTGAGCAGAATATTATTAATAGAGAACCAGAATAAAGGCACATTTCTTAAATATCTATGTGTAGTTTATTCTTGTCTTGTTTCTCCAGAACAAGCTATTAATAATATAGCTGTTTTTAAATTTGTTTTGCGTTTATGTATGTTATATATGTATCATGTATGTTTAAAACATTTTGTACAATTGCTTTTTCTATTACTGTTCTTAAAATTATTTTAACTTTTAATTTGCAGTTGTATTATTCACAATTTTGGATCAAAAACTACTTACAAAGAAATGAATATAATTACTTAGTATCCTCATCCCAGGGATCTGCTATTTTGTATTATTCCTGCCCTACGTGCCTTCTGCATATAAATATATAATAGATCTTAAATGGTGTGGGCTTGCTTTTTTTAAACTTGTGTACTTTCTGAGCTTACCGAGCCTCCCATCTTTTTTTTTTCTAGATTAGAAAAAGACAACATTCAGCATAGCTTTAGCAATGAGGCAAAGACTCGAGTCCTTCAGGCTCAGCAGAGAGAGCAGGATCTGACACAGAAGATGCGGCAAATGGAGGCCCAGCATGATAAAACTGGTAGGTGGTCGGGAAAGATTAGAGCCTGGGCACTCACTCACAAGCCCGGCCCATGCCTTACTGTGAAATGACATCAGGAACACCTGTAACCTTTGGCTGGCCGAAGGGAGCAGATGCTAACTACACCGGAGATTCCGAATTACATATTAGTTAGCGTTTAAAAGAGAAAATGGAAAGTATTGCCCACTGTCTGTTGATTTCAGAGTGCTGCTCTCACATCTGTTGCACCATCTGGATTATGAGTTTATTTACCTGTGTTCAAGAAACGTAAAGCTGAGAGGGACCACAACAAAGTAGAAAAACAAAGGGTTTATTTTTGGCTGGATTTTCAGGCACACATGTTATATAAAGAAAATAGCATCAGAAGCTCTGCAGGAAATGCTCTGAGCTTACAGTTAAAGTCTCCTGAATAGTACTGAACAGTTCCCACAGTACACACATTATAGCTACTCTAAAAGCTTAATGAGTTTGCTTCAGAATCCAAACAGGAGAAAAGCTTTAGCCATTAATTGGTACTTAATTCACTGTCGCAGCTGGATGTAATTCACTGGCTCCAAATTAATATGTTCCTTTATTTAATCTTCGTTGCTTCACACATTTTTGGAATTTGTGTATTCTGTTCTACTCAAATTTAGATATAACTTTAATCTTCTGTAGCTACAAGAATTTGCAGTACAAAGTTTAAATTGATAAGTATGGGATTTTGGCAACAGCTGATAATATCACTGAAATCTGATGTCTTTCAATACAGTATTTTAGTTCAGCTAACTTATCTTTCTTTACCTTTATAGTGTGAAGGTGAAATTGTTTCATGGAAATTCTGACAATATTTGTGTAGTCTTTTAACACTGCTTTTTAAGGTTTACATCAAAATGTACTATGTGTTTAACAGCAAATACATAACAAATTTCCATATACAGAATTGCAGAAAATACTCCCAAAGCGTGCATTTTCAGAACTCAACCTCTGAAACCAAAATTGTAATGAATTTAAATGTGCAATTATGAAATAACCCTTGCGGTAGTAAGCCGTGAATCATATATCTCCAATCTTCCTAAATCTGTGTATGTAATCTAACTAGTTATAAATTGACATTTGTGAAAGGGAAAGGAAAATAAAATTCAATCATGATTTTACTTTTTCTAAATATTTTACAAATTTCCCCAAAATTGACAGTAATTATGAGGAATTACTCGTGGCCTAAATATGCAAGTTAGCAAAATGTGGATTCAAGTCAGATTTCACATTGTGTTTATAATGTAATTCACCTTCACAAGTGTGCATGCACAGTGGCTTCTGTGAAATGAGGTTAACTCACCTAAAGATTTGTTTTGATTAAAATGCCTATACCACTTTTCCAACAAACTAGAACTATTATCATTAAATATGCTGAATTCCAAAGGCGACTGTTCGTGTTAAATCTTATACGGTGTGGGCTTGCTTCTGTGTCTGAATACAATCTGCATACTTTTTAATTCATGAGTTGTGAAGCAACTCTATAACAAGTAAATGGATTGTAGAACTTTAGGAAATTAATTGCAACATGTTAAATTAAATCTGATCATGCCCATGATCCGCAAAATTGAAGATGCTAAAATATTTGTTAAATTTTATAGGTTTTTTTTTTCAGAGTTAGGTGAATTTGTAAGGCTTTATTTCTTTTTTACAAGCCTTTGCTTTTTCAGACACTTCTATCTTTGAAAGAAGGCTAGAGGTACCTTTTATTATGCAAAGATATATTTCACTATTTCCCCCTCAATGTGTTACTTGTTTTTGATTTCTCGCAGTTCTGTAGCAATAGAAGTGCGGTGATTTGTATGTTGAATAAAGTATGCTGGTCTGTGCCTCTACCTGAAGACAGGTTAGAATGGCAGAGAATAGTTTCTGGGTCTGTGCACCTACTAGTTATGTTTTCAGTTGGAAGTATTCTTTAGTTTGTGGCCCCAAATCAGGAGAAATCTGGAGCTGAGCTTTAATTCATAAAAGCTTATACCTTTTAATAAATATGTGTTAGTCTGAAAAGGTGATACAAGACTCCTTCTGATTTTTGGCCACCTTAGACTAACACTTTTACAGTATGTGGCATACACCAGTGCATAGTGGATGACCCTGTTTCTCTGATAGTAGATTGCTACTGTTCCTTTTTTTTCCCCTGTCCATGCTTGGCATCTTAATTCTACTTCTCAAAATCTGGTATGAGAATGAAAGCAATTTATTATTGCTGTTAAGGTCATTACTGCCTTTTGATTGACTCATATGCCACCAAGGCAGAATGTATTTAAACACCAACTTAGATGAGTCTGATTTAAAATCTTTGAGGTAGAATAAGTCCTGCTTTAGTTTTATTTATTTTTATTGCCTACTGATACAATGGGGTTATTCCTCTCCCCTTTTTAAGGAAGCAAAGTTTTATGGTTTTGTGTTTTATGTTGTTATCTTTATTCTAATATCTATTTAATCTACTTCTTGTAAATTATTTTTTAAAAAGAAGAATAGGATTAATTTTTAAATAAATGCACATACATTCTTTTATACTGCTTAAGGAAATGTCCTGATCTGGCAAATCTAGTTTTTCTTATAATTAATATTACATTTTTTTATTATTATTTTAATTTACATGCCGCCCTTCTCCGGAGGCTCAGGATGGCTTACAATGCGCTAAGCAATAGCCTTCGTTCTTTTGTATATTTATACAAAGTCAGCTTATTGCCCCCACAAACTGGGTCCTCATTTCACCTACCTTAGAAAGGATGGAAGGCTTGAGATGGAAAAGATGGAAACCTTGAGCCTTGGCGAGATTCGAACCTGCAGTAATTGCAGGCAGCTGTTCTTAATAACAGGGTGCTTTAGACCACTGTACTACCAAGGCTCTTTTATAACCTGCTTGCTCTTGGTCAAAGTAGCCTATAACAGATTCACTAGCAATACCTTGAATTAACTGAATCAACCAAAGTTCAGAATTTTATATGTGATTGTCATGTCCCAGCTCATGAATAATTGTGAATGATTACTTACTTTATATATTTATTTGAATGATTTGTATGGCTGCCCATCTTTCAAAATGCTGTTTGGGCGTTTTCTCAGAGCAAAAACCAAAAGCAAAAGTTAGCTTGTTTAGTTACCATCTTTTGCTGGTCATTCTTCTTAAATAGCCAGGATAGCATTTAATTGACAGCCATCTTAATTTGAAACTGTGTTCTGTTTGAATTCTACAGTAGTGACACAAATCCTAGCAGGCCAATTTTTTCTATAAATGAACATAAGTATTTGCTTTATGATTTCATTCCACATAAGTGTATTAAGGGGAAAGGGACTATTTGTGGCATCTTTCTACATTCTATACAACACTTCTGTGTATAAGCAGCTGTGACTTGGCACAGATATGCAGAACCAGTTGTCATTTAGTCTTTTCACTCATATCTGTAAAATCTTCATTAATCTGCTTACATTTGAGAATGGTACTTCATGTCAAGTGATTTTTTTAAAAGAAAAAACTACAACAATGGAGAAGTAAAAGACATAGGAAAAAAACACAGAAAAAACTAATCTGAACAGTAATTATATTAAATTGCATGGAGTTCTATCTGTTACTTTGTTAATAATTATAATGTTACTTTTTCAGATAAATTCCTAATCATATTTTTCCTGCAGTTCCTATCCTTTCCAGTGATCTTAATTCTTGAATTAATTGAAAATTTCTATCAGTCAGATGGAATATGGCAGGATTGTTTGCATAGTTTGAAAATATCTGACAAATTATGGGATTGGTATTTTCATTTTAAAAAAGGGGATAAAACTTTTATGAATGGTATAGACTAGCTATATTTATGATATTTCCCCCTTGTTAATATATAAATATTCCACAACTTGCTGCACTGTTTTAGTACTGTACATTGGTGGGTATTAATTGTGAGTGAGATATCAAGTGACAGATTCAAGTATTTCAGGTTTTTCCTATACACTGTTCATATTTTATAATTTTGCTATATAGGTTTCAAAAAAACCATTGTGGGCAACTAAACCAGATGAAAATCATGTGGGGGGGGGTGTGTATATGTAATCCATCATGCTATGTTTTGTAGTACCAATGTTGGGCAGAGCACCTAAAAGGAGTAAGAAATAGTAAGCTGAAGAAATTAAAAGACATGTAAGAAAAAAAGGAGAGGAAGTTTAGGTAAAATTAGATTACACCATCCCTATCTTTGCTAACCTGCCATTGCTTCCACCAGGCCCATATACCAGCTCATACAATGCCTTGTGTTTTTTTTCTTTTTAACTTTTCTCTTACAGGAATTCATCAACCGTATCAAAATATGACTTTCTTTTCCTTCCTTCTCAACCTATTTGCAATTCAGTCCTTCTTTATTCTTTCTACATAACCAAGTCACCTCAGTATATTTCTTCATTCATTAAGCATTCATACATTCTTTACATCCTATCTAAATCTTATTTCCCCATACATTAAGCATCCTGTTCCCAGTATTTTCAATATGTTTTTAAGTTTCTTTTGTTATGTTTTCATTAAATAGACTGGTTTTTTTTCTTTCCACCTTTTATGTAATATACACTTTGGACATTGCTTATTGGTAAATAATGTATATATTGGAGCTAGCCAATCAGTAGTCCTGTCTTGGTAGGTATTATCATGGATGCACTGACCTTGTCAAGAGCAGATGCAGTTGGCACACTAGCTTAAGGTGGGCAAAGATGCTCCTATTTACATCTTCTTGGGCATCTGCTTCTTGGTGAATCCAGATGCACTCACAGACTGCAAACCTGATTCTTTAGGGAAGTGTTGCTCCATTTAAAACAGGTTGCATTACAGTTCCAGAATCCATCTATCACTCTCTCAAGCACTTCTGCCAAAGATTGGCTTCTTATTATGAGGAATCTTGTCATATCTTCACTGGGTTTAAACTGAAGTGTATCCATGAACATGTAAGCATAGAAAGTACATCATTAGAATCTTCTAATCTTAATTAGGATGAATGTAAGAGATTTTTACATAGGAAATTTTGTTGTATCATCTTTCTTCTATTCTTAATGTGGTAGATCTTTCATCCAGTGATTTGGAATAGCTGCACTAGAAAAATCAGTGTAGATGTAGTAGCAGTAGCAAATTACAACATCTTCTTTGCCATTGAAGCTGAAGTACATTCTTTAAAATGGTCTCTACCTTCTACTGATTTATTCTGAATTTCCTCCACCATTGCTGTGGTTGGCATCCCTATTTTCATTCCTCTGAACTTCCTGGAAAACCAGCAGGCTTCCTGGAAAACCAACAGGCTTCCTGGAAAACCAGCAGGTTTATCAGCATAGAGAAAATATTCAGAGGCAATAGCCTCTCCCATTTCTTTAAAAATATGGACTTCTCTACAACCATAAATTACATTCAGAATTAATGTTTATGAATAATAAACTATATTCTCCTAATTAAATAGTCATCTTACTGCCCTGAAGAGATCATAATAAAAAAAATGCCCTACCTGAAATAATTTAGGGTGATAATCCTTCACTTGCCATGGAGGCAATACATTTCTGAACTACTAATTTGATAGGAGCCAGTTTGGTGTAGTGGTTAGAGTAAAGGTAAAAGTTTTTCCCTGTCCAGTCATGTCCAACTCTAGAGGGCAGTGCTTATTTCCATTTCTTAGCAGAGGGAGCTTACATTGTCTGAAGACACTTCTGTGGCCACATAGCTACCATGATTATATGCTGAGGCATGGAGAATCCTGTTATTTTCGCACCGAAGTGGTGCCTATTTAATTACTTGTATTTATATGATTTCCACTATCTCAAATATCACAATTCTCTATTTTCTCTGGTATTTTCAATTTGCAGATTAACTCATGAGATAACTCCAGCCTCCATGCAAAAATGATTTTGATTATAGTAGAAATATTTTCCCAATGCCTCATTCTTTACACCCAGACTAAAATAGATAAGGGCAATGCAGCATATATTGGCGAAGGACCTTATTACAGTATAAGAAAATGGAATGGAATAGAATAGAATAGAATAACTGAGTTGGAAGGGACTTTAGAGGTCTTCTAGTCCAACCCCCTGCTCAGGCAGGAAACCCTATACCATTTCAGACAAATGGTTGTACAATCTCTTCTTAAAAACTTTCAGTGTTGGAGAATTCACAACTATTTCTAACTGTCAGGAACTTTCTCCTTAGTTCTAGGTTGCTTCTTTCCTTGATTAGTTTCCATCTATTGCTTCTTGTCCTGCCCTCAGGTGTTTTGAAGAGGGAAATACAGCAGGGAAATGTGTTTGGTATCCAGAAGGATCAAAAAACAACCTCCTATTGAAAATACAATAACTCATAATAATAAACCATGGCCAAAACATGTAAATATTTATCCGTTATGGCATTGTTAAATTGTTTTTAGAGTATTATCTGTAAATATCATTATGTTTAGCATAATTACAAAGAATGCATGATCATGTTTGGTGGTTTCCATGTGAAAGTATTTTCCATGAATAAATGTTTTCATTTTTCATTACCCAAAATGTAATGCTAATTCATTGATAAATGGTGGATGATGGGATAATTTTATTAGTTTTTCAGACTGCAGTTTGGGGGGAAAGCAACATGTATTGAGGCAATGTTTTCCTTGTATTTTTCCTCCCTTTTAAATAGTAGTTTGGGCATCAGAATCTAAAGCATTTTTGTAATTCATTTTAGCTCCCAATATCTTAATCTTTGGGACCAAGCCAACAATTTCAGGATGATTTGTTAGGTACTAAAGTTGAAGAAACTTAGTTTAAAAATGGAGATGATAGGGTTAGGGTTAGGGTTAGGGTTAGGGTTAGGGTTAGATAGGAAATAGCATTAGGTTAGATAGGAAATAGCATTCTGTAGAATTTGTCATAGGGCAATTGTGTATTTCCTTGTAAAGAGAAAGTGTCAGCTCTTGTTTTTAGTGAGAAGCATTGAGGTGTATTATTCTTTGTTTAGAAAACTTCTATAAAATTGATTTAGTATTTGAAGAAAAAAAAGAGAAAAGCTTACAATTCATATCAAGAAATGTGACTATTTATTTGTCCTAATACTTTAGTTTTTCTTTGCTATGGTTAACTTTTTCAAAATGTAATTTGTGCATAGTAGTCAGAGTAAAATTTTAAAATGCATCTAAAATTCTTTCTGTAATATCTAAATCCTGATATTCAAAAAATTCTTATCTATATTTGTATATATATATGATTATTGTTTCTAGTAAATGAACTGGAATCGTTACTGAGTTCCCAGAATGCTCTTCTATCAAAATTAAAAGAAGAATGTTGTCAATTAGCAAAGAAGCTTGAACATGTCACTGAAAGAAATAGGTAAAGAAAGTCTGTAATTTTCCTTATGAAACTATTAGAAAGTATTGAGACTTCTTTATTATTTGTAAGTGCTCAAAATAATGCTGCTTCCCATAGTAAGACAGCATTTTAATTGGTCTAGACTTTGACTGTCAGTGATCTTTAATCTCTTTCCTTCCTTCTCTTACTCCCAATGAACACATTTAATATGTGGACAAAAGCAGATGCTGATTACAGCCAATCTATAGTAGAGACATTATATGCTCATACTAATGAGCATCTATATATGATGTGTATCAATGTATAATGAGTGTATAATTGTGTGTGTGTGTGTGTGTGTGTCTGTCTCTCTCTCTCTCTCTGTGGTATACAGTGGTGGGCTGCAACCGGTTTAACAACCGATTCTGTAAGTGTGCACGCACACGGGCTTCGCATGAGCGTGCATCTAACGTGCTTGTGCGCAGCGTTCAAAATACAGCAATTTGAAGCTCAGCTGCTTACCTTCTAAGGCAGCCCTGGTAAGTAGAACAGCAGAGGTGTGAAAATCAGCTGTGCCGCGCGAATCAGCTGAGCCACAAAGAAGGAAATATAGGACAGATAGGGCAGGAGCGAGTGGGTGGGGCCAGCTGATCATCAGAACTACCGTTTCGCCTGAACCAGTCCGAACTGGCAGCAGCCCACCACTGGTGGTATGTATGTATGTATGGGCTTCTTCCTCGTACATACTACAAAAAGAATTGGTGATTCCTAATTGAAAAGAATGAGAAAGAAATTTGTGTACCACAGTAGTTGTAATCACAATAGATGTGCAATATCAGCTTTTTAAAAAGTTCCCATTTTTATTAACTAAATTAACTGAATAATTTTAATACATTATAGATTGCAAATTATTAGTCTTGTGCCTAAACACAAGATATAAATCAGTTCTTGAGTAAAGTTGTTTCTGAGCAGTGGTGGGTTGCTACCGGTTCTCCCCGTTTTTTGCGAACCGGTAGTGGAAATTTTGAATAGTTCAGAGAACCGGTAAATACCCCCTCTGCCTGGCCCCGCCCCCAATCTATTCGCTGCCTCCCGAGTCCCAGCTGATCAGCTAGAAGGAAAAAATCAGAGTTCACTTGACAAAGAAGAAGAAAAAAAAAAAACAAGACACCTTTGCTTTAAATTGAGAAGCCAAGAAGCCTCCCAACTGATCAGCTAGAACCAATCCGCTCCTTGTGGATTGCTCGGTGGTGGTAGATTGGCAATTGAGGCCAAGGTACCTGAAATCGGTTTCCGATGCTTTCGGTGGTAGTAGAGCGGCAAAAAACTGTTTAAACTCTTGCTGTGGCGCTTCAAAGGGCCGCCCTACAGCTGATCAGTGGTAAAAGGCAGTGTGGTGGTAGACAGGTGCGCTCCAAAAACAAATAGGTAGACCGGAACGCTCCAAAAACAAATGGGTAGACCGGTATGCTCCAAGAACAAATGGGTAGACCGGTACGGCTCTGCAAGCAGTTAAAAGCCTGGTAGACCAGTACCTCCGCTAAAGCCTAAAGAATTGTTTGTCACATGACCATCAAACCATGCCAACAAAATAAGCCACGCTCACAGAACCGGTAGTAAAAAAATTTAGAACCCACCCCTGTTTCTGAGGTACATATTCTTGGGTAAGGGATAAATAAATACATAAGGAATTGTTTATCCATTTTGCACACTACTTATTTATTTATGAATGTGCACTATATGTCATCCTTAAAAAAAAACAAGTACCGTGTTTTCCCAAAAATAAGACCCTGTCATATATTTTTTTGAACCCTGAAATAAGTGCTTGGCTTTATTGCCATGCACTCAAAAGCCCAGTTGAGCTTATTATCAGGGGATGTCTTATTTTGGCGGAAAGAGGGTATTTGATTCAGATTAAGTTACAAATGTTCAAGGGATAATTATTTGTACAGTTAGGAATTGAAATGCTATTGCTACATTTGGCATCTTTTTTCCTGTACTGTATGTTAATCATGTTAATCTGAATGAAGTGGAACTTTTAACTAAATGTTGTATTGTGAAGTGCTTTTCTATAGAGCCAGGCCATCTCCTCCATTGTGTTGAGTTTTCATTGGGGACTGATATCCATTCTTATTGACAGAGGCGGGAGTTGTAATCCATATCTGGAAAGAACATATGCCTTTATAGAATAGTATAGCAATACCTACCCCACCATTACTGCTTATAGCTTGTGCCTCACTTGTGCCTTTATCTCCTTGAAATTACAGAATAATCTCGAGGGCACTGTTCTTGAAATAATTATTAGCAACTTTGTTGATAGAGATTGGAGCATTCTGCATCTGAGAATTACATTTAGAGTGATTAATTAATATGATAGTTTGTCAGTAATCATGGTTAATCCATTCTGAAACTGCTTCTTTATTAAAATTTGCGTTGTGCAATAAATAATTTGCTGGCAAAATTAATAATGATTGTGTATGAAATGACTATAGATTGGAAAAAATGTAATAATTAATGTATGTTTCTTATTAACTATGTCATGAATGCATATTCTAAATGCTAAGAAATTCCTTCAAGTTGACACTAACATTTATAAATAAGATTTGGAATATAATTAAAAGCCATCTCTCCTCAGATTATGCCTCTTAAGATATATCAGAAGTTAAGCATTTTTACAGGTATCAGGTATCTGTGTAAACTTCCTTGTATAGATTAATGATGCAAATTAAATTATAGTTAAGTGCATTACTTCCTACATTTTTAGGTTTTGGCTATCTTTACGGTCTAGGATTACCATATTTTTTGGGGTATAAAACACACCGGAGTATAAAACGCAGCTTAGTTTTTGGGGAGGAAAATAGGGGGGGGGAAAATCTGCCTACCAGGCATTCATCTGGCTAGCGTCCTTAGTCTGGTCAGCTTCAGCACATTAGTTTGCTGGTTATTTATTTATTTATTTATTTATTTATTTATTTATTTATTTATTTATTTATTTATTTATTTAAAATTTATATACCGCCCTTCTCCCTGAGGACTCAGGGCAGTGTACAGCCAGAATTAAAAAACATAAAATACAAATACAAATATTAAAAAACAATTAAAATATATATAAATTTGGCCCAAAATTAAAAATACAAACCAATTAAAACATTTAAAATTTCTTCTTAAGCCAGCCCGGCTTGCTGGAAAAAGTGGGTTTTAAGGGCACGGCGGAAGGCACTAAGGTCTTGGATTCTCCTTATATCTGGGGGCAACTGATTCCAGAGGGTAGGTGCCCCCACAGAGAAGGCCCTCCCCCTGGGGGTCACCAGCCTACATTGATTGGCTGATGGCACCCTGAGGAGGCCCTCTCTGTGGGAGCGCACGGGACGATGGGAGGTCGTCGGTAGCAGCAGGCGGTCTTGAAGATAGCTAGGCCCGATGCCATGGAGCGCTTTAAAGGTGATAACCAGCACCAGCACCTTGAAGCGCACCCGGAAGACCACTGGGAGCCAGTGCAGCTCACGCAACAGCTTCTAAGGCACAGCTGAGAGGAAGCAGCAATGAGAAAAGCAGGCAAAGCACGGGGGGATCTCTTCACTCGGCTAGCGCCTAATTAGGGCTGAAAAAAAGCTTCTAAAGAACAGCTGAGAGTCGGAGCAAAGTATGGAGAGATCGCTTCACTCGCTAGCACCTTGTTAAAGCACAGCAGAGAGTCGAGGGAGCAGGCAAAGCTCGGAAGATTGCTTCACTTGCTAGTGCCTTGTTAGCGCCTCGTTTGGGCTGAAAAAAAGCTTTGAAAAAGCTACATTTGGCGTATAAGACGCACCCAAATTTTCAGCCTCTTTTTTTTTTTTTTTAATTTGATTTATATGCCGCCCTTCTCCGGAGACTCAGGGCGGCTTACAATGCCTTCATTCTTTTGTATATTTTATACAAAGTCAGCTTATTGCCCCCACAAACTGGGTCCTCATTTCACCTACCTTTTGGGGGGGGGAGGTGTATCTTATACTCCAAAAAATATAATATATCTGTTTTGGTGCTATAGTATAGTATAATATAATATAGTATAATTGACATTAACGGACCACTTTGAACTATTTCACGCAACCAAGGAGGCCCAAGCAAAGCTTCTTAAATGTTAATTTTTTTTAATATCAAAAAACAAAGTGTTTTCCATATTAAATATACTTATTTGTTGGCACAGTGCTTTTGTTTATTAAAAAGAATTTTTCTACCATTTGAACCAAGAAAAGGATATAATATCTTAAAATAGTCTTTGAAATTTTAGTATATTGTAGTACTGCTTAAGTTTAACAAAATATAATGTATTAAGGTTTATACTTCTCTTGATAAGATTGTCAAGAAGTGAATTATATTGATTAATATATAGAATATCTTGGGACTGATTATATCCAGGGTATGTAAAGATGCAGTTATCTTACACAAATAGATAGCAGACCAGCTTTATTGGATTTAGCTGTTACCTTCACTAATGTATAATATTTTTGGCAAATTGTTCAGTGGAATCTATAATAATAAAAAATTAGCTTGAGCAAAAATTTTCCCACATACATAGGCGGATCTTGGACATACTGAACTTACTCCCCTCCAGCTGCACATCTAGCTCTATGTAGGACGTGGAATTGTAATAATACAATACTTCAGTGTTTTCTATGTGATTTTTTTCCCCCTTTTTTGGATTATCGTGGTGTCTAAGGTTTGTGGATTGATGCTTGACACTGTCTATTGTGTATTTGTGATTTGCTCTTTGTAATTAAGTGCAACAATGGAAGTCCATTGGGTCTCGTTATATATAATGGTTGGTTTAATTTGTTTCACTTCTATCTTGTTAATTGTAAATTGATCATTAAGATTTGAATTCTAATCTGTCACCAGGGTTGAGTGTATTGAAGCTAGAGAAACGATCCTGTTTTTAATCACCGATTATGAGAAACAAATTTTATAATTTTGGTGCACATTGCAGTCCATATATTTTAACACTGTTTTTATGGTGTTATAAATATTGTTAAATGACTTTTAGTGTAGTTTTACTGTTTCCCTATAATGGATAAATTATATTACCATTTTGGCAACAGTAGGCATCCAACTGTGTGAGTTTAATTGAAGTAAAGAACATGCACCCGGTTGAACTGTTTTTCTGCATGTTCAATTGATGCTGCATTGGATGACTGCAGTCATTACAGTTAAACACCAGGAGTGTCTTGCAAAGCTAGAGAATCAGAAGCTAAAACTGAACTTGTGCGGAAAAGTAAGCCACAACTGTGATATCTTTTCTTTTTGTCCTAATCTCCATCAAAAGAAATAGAAGCTACCTTACATTTAATTATATTACGCTAAAATGCTAAGTTTCTGATGAATAGGAAAGCAACGATAGTGAACCAAATATTTTGTGCGAAATTTTTGTATGTCTGTCAAAATTAAAGGGACAAAACTGGCTTTTTAAGCTAAATGTGCATGGAGTGATTTACAACATCCTTGACTTACAACCATTTATTTAGTGCCCATTTGAAGTTAAAACAGCACTTTAAAAAGTGTCATGATTATTTTTCATGTATGATCTTTACAGCATTCCCATGGTCCTGTAACCAAAATTTGGATGCTTGATGACTGGCATGTATTTATAACAACGGTTGCAGTGTCTCAGGGTCAATTGATCAACCTTTTGTGACCTTCTGACAAGCAAAGTGGAATGAGGAAGCCAGATTCACTTAACAGCCATGTTACTAACGTAACAGCAGTGTTTCACTTAAAACTATGGCAGAAATGGTCATAAAATGGGGCAAAACTCACTTAACAACTATCTTGGTTAGCAATAGAAATTTTGGGGTCAAAGGTTGAGGACTACATGTACGCTGGCTTCTTGATGGATAAAGATTTACGAATGTTTTGTGCTAGATTTTGCAGATGTGGTATTTCAGTAACATTGCAGTGCCTACATCACAAAGAAAATGTGTGAGTGAAATGACAGAATTGTGGGCTTAATTATTTGCTACAATAACTCTTTTATTATTTAAACTATATATTCTGTGACTCCAGTCTTCAAAATTATTAGTGCCATGCCATATTTTTAATCTGAGGTTCACAGAATTTGGTGGAACGTCTTTTCTATGAAATATGCTTAGGATTGATTGATTTATCAAATTAATTATTTATTTATCAAACCTCACAAGAAATGACTTTGGGTACCATACAGCAAAAAATATGAAAACAATAAGCATGCCTAAAGCAGACAAAAATAAACATAAAACATAAAACACACAAGAGATTAAGATCAGTAAGAAAGCCACCTCAAGATTTCACCAGTCTCCTGAAACCTTCAGGCCAAATGACATAGCCAGGTATTGAGGGACTTCCAGAAAATAATAAGGATGGAGATTACCTCACTTTGGGGGCGGGGGGGGGGGGAATGTCCCATAATGCAGTTACCATGGCACAGAAGGTCTGCCCCCTCAGGCCCACCTAATGTGGTTCCTGCAGTTTTGTGGCACTGAAAAGAAAACTATAACACCTTCCTGCAAAGTAAATGAAATTATATAAGGTAGTTTCTCATAGTTATTCCCTAGTGTAACGAACTTCCCAAAAAAAGTCCGTGGTTTATTTTATTTTAATTTATTTTATATTTATTTATTTATTTATTTAATAAACTTACATGGCTGCCCAAATCACTCACAGTGACTCTGGGCAGCTTACAAAGATGAAACCCCAATACAAAAGCCAATAAACCCCCATACCCCTGGCAACAATAGTTCAGCCTTTTACTTCTTAGTGTCCTCTAAATTAGACTATGACACCTATTATCTAAGCCAGTGCTGGTCTAAATATAGGCTTTAAGTTGCAGATTCTGGTAGAGTTATATCCCCAGCTATGCAACAGTACTGCCAGAGTACGTTTTGATATTCTCTGCTCTGAGGAAAGATGCAGATGTGAAGTATAGAGTTGTTAAGTTGATGATACACTGCATGATAAAATCTGGCAACATCCATCATCAGTGTTCTTAATTCTCTAGGTCGGAAATCAGCCAGCTTAGTCAGGAAAATGAGTACATCCATGACAGACTGGAAAAGGTGCAGAAAAGGCATGATGAATTGGAGGATCAGTGTATCCAGCATGGAAGGATGCATGAGAAAATGAAGCTAAGGTAGGGAGATTTATTAATTTATCCCTGTGCGGTTTACTATAACAAAACTGATGCTCCTATACTTTTCATCTCAAAAGCATTATCAATATTTTAGGTAATTGCTTAATTTAAAAAAAGTTAACAGATAAAAAAATTCAAATACAAATGCAGTCCAAATTATATTCAAATATGCTTGCCTCCAATAAATCATTTCTGTGTCTTTGTCAGCAACTATATTTCAATAGACTTTTAAAAAAATACAGATGTGTGTAAGTGTGTGTAAAACATACATCTTTAAAAAAAAAAAAAAAACTCTCCATCCAGTTGAGGCAGAGCTCCATATCACTCTGTGGCTATGATAGACAGGATTGTTGCCTCCTTTAAACCAGTCTGTCAACATAGGTATGTCTCTTCATCTACATTTGCCATGAGACTTAGTTTCTAATGTATATGACCTGGTATTAATAATGCAGAAGAATAATTGCTGAAAATTTAGAATAGCTTTTTTTTTTTTTTTAATCCAGGCTACTCGCTCCCTTTTTTGGATTATTCTTCTTTGTGTTCAATCACAAATCAACTTTCTTGTTTATTGCCTCTGAGGCAGCTGACCTTCTCTAACATGCCATCTGCAGTCACCCTTACATCTGTTTAAGAAATGCCACTTCTTCAGTTTTTTCCTCTCACTGAATTTCTAAATGTCTTACTTGCTGTTTATATATCTTGTCATTTATAATCGTTTGGCCTCATTTTCAGTCCTCTTGGTAATATTCATATCAGAACTTATTAAGTTGTAAAACAGCACTAGATTTGTTGTTCACTACATTATTGATTTAATCTAAGGTTTGGAATATTTCCTTACGAATATGTTACCTACCAGTATTTCAGATATTACTGCTTGTGACAATATGTGTTTACTCTGTCCCCCCAAAATAGAGGCAGTTGATATCAGTTCACCAAAATGCCTCACTCTTCCATTTCAAACATTTCATAAAGCTTTTGTTATAGCTTTAATAAAGGAGGAGATTTGAACTCTTCAGATTTTTTTCTACCATACATTTATATCCTCACAATTGGTTGGGAAATAGTATCAGATTCTGCATTCTACCTATCTTTAGAAAGTGACTTTTATTGTTATTCTGTAGCTGCTGGCTTTGTAGATCCTTGGCTTTGAATTAGGGTCTTTAATATTGTGGTGCTTTCTTTTGATTTCCCAATATAGAAGAATTGCAGTTGCAGCCCAATTTAACCCAAAAGATAATCTGAAAGGAAAGATAGAAAATGTGGCAGGGATATGCATGTAATCCTTCTTTTCTTACTAGGATAAATAACAACTCCCAGAAATATTTGAATGTTTGATATGTTTAATCAGTTCAATAGGCTTTGTCTTCCTGTGCTCATTTATACTTGGTCTAATCATGATATTCTGCTATTATAAGAATCTGAGTGGAGCAGTGAAAACACTGGAATAAACTATATACAAAATATTTTACATTAACTCTTTATTCCATATGTTGAAGAACTTGTAGAGTCCAAAGAATTTAACTTCTTTTAAATGGATAGAAACATTGCAATAGTGTATTACTCAGAATATCTTTTACACCCAACATACAGAAATCAGTCACAGCTTTTAAACATGAAATATAATTGTTTTTTTTTTAAAGATTATATTCCAGGTAATCTATATGGAGAAAAAAATACAAAGCAATTCTTTAATTCTAAATGATACTGAAGATTTGAAACAAAATGTAAACAGATTTATTCACTTGGAAGGTGATTATAATTTAAAAGAAGAAACTGAAGAAAAATTAGGAAATGATGTAAAGTGAACAAAAAGCTGTAATTGGGACAAGACATACATCAAATACCTTAGAAGTTAACTTTTAATTTTAGAATCTCAAACTAAATGAATTTCATAGCAGACTTCAAATACATATGAAGCAAATTCAAGAATCTTTATATGATTCTAAAAAAGAAGGGATCATTATTAACTTAAAAAGTTAATGGCTACTAGTGAAGCTTTCCTAATAGGAGAAAATTTGGTGGCAAGAAGTTTTTATAAATTCCACAGACATCTCGGGGATATATGTTCTCTCTGTACAAATAACAGATAGCTTCTAAAATATGTCTATAATAGAAATTATTTCCAATACCAAACAATATTTTTCATATTCCCCTTAAGTGGTATACAAGCCCAAACTTTTGGAGAGGTTGCATTTTTTGAGGATTTTGGAGGATTAAAATGAGTGCCTTAAGATTTATAGGTGTGCGCATCATCTATTTTATCCCTTAAAATTCTTGAACTTGGCTTGTCCACTTTTTCAGCTATCCTCTCAATATGCCACACAAAGACTAGTACATCATTATGCCAACAGAAGTTGCACAGTCTTGGTGTAATCTAAATCTTTTTGACTACAATAGCATTTTATTTAGAGCCTAGTCTGCACAAATAGTTGGCTAAAATTATCTTTGATTCATGGCAGTTACTTTATGTTTCTGATTATTTAAAATTTTCTTTCAATGGACTTTACCATGTTTCAATATAAATGTTTGCATAATAAACCTGATTAAAATGATCCTTGCATTCTTTCATCACTGCAAAGATCACTGGGAAATGACTATGGACTAAGATGGGAAAAACTACAATTGTCACTATTAGGAAGAATCTCTGTGATATTTTTGTTTCAGACAATAAGTGTTTTGGCAACTGATGTACCATAAAACAATGTCAAAAAGATACATCTACGTTTGTACAGCCAGAGAAAAACCTACAAGTTAAATATAAGGTGTTACAAATTGCAAAGGAAAGAGGAGGATTAGATCTATCTTATCTGAAATTGGATATTGTAGCTTGTTGTTAGACTTACTTCCTTGCAGCAAGATATTCCAAAGGGTGATGGCCGTGGCAGAAAAGGCTCTTCTCCTGGATCTCACCAACTGAAATCCTTTGGCCTATGGATCCACAGTAGACTCCTTCTGCCAGCATCAATGGGCAGGTCAGTTTCCCATTGGGGAAAGACATTTCCAAAGGTATCCTGGAGCCAAACTATAGAGAACTTTAATGATAATAACCAATACCTTGAATTGCATCCAGAAACAGCCAGTGCAGCTCATGGTATTACATTGCCATCCTTGGGCCTTCAAAACTGTCTGCACTGCTTCATGCTTCCAAAAATTCTTCAAGGATAGCCCATTTTTATTTATTTATTTATTTTATTAAATTTCTATACCACCCTTCTCCCGAAGGACTCAGGGCGGTGAACAGCCACAAGATAAAACACAGAAATACAAAAATTTAAAATAGATTAAAAACGAATTAAATAATTTGGCTGAATTTAAAATACCCCATAATTTAAAACAAATTAAAATTTGTATTTAAAATTTATATTTAAAAGGGGAGAAGATTTAGGCCAGGCCAGCTTGATGAAATAAAAAAGTTTTAAGCGCACGACGGAAGGTGCGCAGATCCGGGATCCTCCGTATCTCCGGGGGGGATCTCGTTCCAGATCGTAGGTGCCCCCACAGAGAAGGCTTTCCCCCTAGGGGCCGCCAGTCGACATTGTTTGGCCGACGGCACCCGGAGGAGCCCCTCTCTATGGGAGCGTACTGGCCGATGGGAGGCTATTGGTGGTAGCAGGCGGTCCCGTAGATAACCAGGTCCTAAGCCATGGAGCGCTTTAAAGGTGATAACCAGAACCTTGAAGAGCACTGGGAAGACCACCGGGAGCCAGTGCAGCTCGCACAGGAGAGGTGTTACATGGGAGCTCCACGTTGCTCCCATAACCACCTGCGCGGCCGCACTCTGCGCCAGTTGGAGCCTCCGAGTGCAACTAATGGGGAGCCCCATGTAGAGAGCGTTACAATAGTCCAGACGAGAGGTGACGAGGGCATGAGTGACTGTGTGTAGGGAGTCCCGATCTAGAAAGGGACACAACTGGCGGATCAGGTGGACGTGATGAAAAATCCTCCTGGTCACGGCCGTCAAGTGCTCTTCTAAAGACAGCCGTGAATCCAGGAGGACGCCCAAGTTGCGAGCCCTTTCCGTGGGGGCCAATGATTCACCCCCAATAGTCAGCGATGGCACCAGCTGACTATATCGGGACGTCGGAAACCACAGCCACTCAGTCTTGGATGGGTTGAGCCTGAGCCTGTTCCTCCCCATCCAGATCCGTACGGCCTCCAGGCACCGGGACATCACTTCAAGGGCATCGTTGGGGTGGTCCGGGGTGGAGATGTACAGCTGGGTGTCGTCAGCGTACTGATGGTACTTCACCCCGAAACCATGGATGATCTCACCCAGCGGCTTTACATAAATGTTGAACAAAAGGGGCGAGAGGACCGATCCCTGCGGCACCCCACATATGAGGGGCCTCGGGGTCAACCTCTGCCCCCCTGTCAACATGGACTGCGACCGGACGGAGAGAAAGGAGGAGAACCACCGTAGTACGGTGCCTCCCACCCCCAACTCTTCCTATCGGTGCAGCATGATACCATGGTCGATGGTATCAAAAGCTGCTGAGAGATCTAACAGGACCAAGACAGAGGAGCAACCCCTGTCCCGAGCCCTCCAGAGATCATCAACCAACGCGACCAATGCCGTTTCCGTGCTGTACCCAGGCCTGAAACCCGACTGGTACGGATCTAGATACGAAGTTTCATCCAGGTACTGAGGAAGCTGTCGCGCAACCACACTCTCAACAACCTTCGCAATAAAGCGAAGGTTGGAGACTGGACGATAATTAGCCAATACTGCCGGGTCCAGGGAAGGCTTCTTGAGGAGAGGCCTCACCACCGCCTCCTTCAAGGCGGCGGGGAAGGCACCCTCACCCAATGAAGCATTTATAATCCCCTGGAGACAGCCTCGCGTCACCTCCTGGGAAGCCAGTACTAACCAGGAGGGACACGGGTCCAACAAACATGTGGTCGCGTTCAATCTACCCAGAATCCTGTCCACGTCATCTGGGGTCACAGGATCAAACTTGTCCCAGATAACATTCTCAAGACCTTCCTCCGTCCCCCTCGCT